GAAGAAGAAAAAGTTTAATAATAATAATAATAATAATAATAAGAAGAAGAAGAAGAAGAAGAAGAAGAAGAAGAAGAAGAAGAAGAAGAAGAAGAAGAAGAAGAAGAAGAAGAAGAAGAAGAAGAAGAAGAAGAAGAAGAAGAAGAAGAAGATGAAGAAGAAGAAGAAGTAGTAGAAGAAGAAGAAACACTGCACAGACACAAAAGAATCAATAGAGTTTAACTATGCTTTTCAAGAATAGGTCACTGCAGACATGGTAGTATATCAACTTTTACGGAACTGTGTTAGTGCCGAAAGTGACTAGATTTATTCTTATCTTGGCGACAGAGTTAAGATGCACACCACATAATGTATTGCCTTATACATCCTTGGTTATGTCACTTCTTATTTTAATATATTTATGTGGTATTCTTTCATAACTCGGTTCTTTTCTGTTAAGTCACCACATCATGTGAGATGTAGGAAAATCCTATAGTATAGGTGGGTTAGGGTTAGGGTTAGTAGTAGTCACTACTATTCATTTAACAATAGGCTTAACCATAATCCCCTACACTGTGGGATTACCCTAAATCTCTCATGATGTGGTGACTTAACAGAAAAGAACCCATAACTCTTTCAGTGGTACACAAATCCTATACATTTATTAAATATTTCTGTGTGAATGAAATATTGCACATCAGGGGTGCCAGAACTTTCAACACCTTGTGATCCCCCCCCTCCCCCCCCCCCCCCCCCCCTCAATTTTGTTAAGGGGGCCAAGCTGCCCTCTTCCACCCTACTATGAAATAAAGTTTTCTTTTTTAGTTTGTCTTTATAGATATAATATTTTAAATATCTAATTATATTTTCTGCTATTTTCCAGTCAGATCATTATTATTATTAATCATTTAATCAAGGGTTGTACCCCTTTAGACTCCCACCTACCATTTTGTTTCAGAAGCCAGTCTGCCACAAACACAGCTATGCAATAAAGTTCTCAGTCCTGTTAGGGCTCTAGATTTATGATTTTACAAATCATTTTATTTTAAATATATGATTAAACAGTGCAGACGGATTTTGGATCATCTCGGATATTAAGAATTTATGTTATGAAGAACAGTTTGTTTATCCTTGGTAATTACTATATGCTTGAACTCTTATCTGGATAAAAGGAATTTCAGAATTTCTGATAAAAAGAACTATTTCTTGGGTCCCCGATAAGTTCTTTTTATCAGATCTGCAGTGTATTATTTATTAGCCCTTTAGCACATTATTACTATTTATCACCTAAACAAGATTCAGACCTTTTGAGCCCCCTTCCTAGCCTAATGTTGTCATTGTTTTGCCCCTGATGCACATGCCGTGTCCTGCTGTCCAAACATATTCTAATGTATAGTACATTTATTCATTACAGGGTGTGGTACCAAGTGTTGTACCAAGCTTCGCTCCAGCCCCTGTGCCTGCAGTATGTATAATATACTATCTTAAATTATGTGACTAGTTCTTTCATTGCCTGTTTGGGTGGCCTAAATAGTATTGCTAAATGGAATTGACTACTGTGTTTAACTCCATCATTATAAACATATTGTTATAAACACATCGTTATAAACACATCATTATAAAAAACATCATAATAAACACATCATTATAAAGACACCATTATAAACACATCATTATAAACGCACCATTATAGACACATCATTATAAACACATTGTTATAAACACATTGTTATAAATCTCTGAAACACTACCTTAAGAAACTAGAGGAAGGGAAGAAGTGAAGAAATGTTGTAGTCTTCCTAATTTTCAATAAAACAGGCAAACCTGCTAGCTATTGCATAATAGCAGCAACTAACTCACTAAAAAGATTTTGCACAAAAGTGATTTTTTTGGTTTGATTTTAATGTGGAGGGAGGTAATACCTAAATACAAACAGAGCAAAGAAATAACTGCTTTCCTTCCCTTTGACCAAGAAAACAGAGGTTTTGACACAGCCACAAAAAACAGAGTGACATCGTTATACATTTTTAACAACGACACATTCCCCTCTCCCATTCAATCAAATTTTTTAAACCCAGAGTAATATCTTAACCCTTTGCAGATGATAAAGCCAAAATATCAGCCCGACACAAAGTAGCCACAAGGATGACAGGTCTGATCGGTCAGCTCTATGTAATACAAGCCTTGAGATTGGCTGGTATGTTTTTGTACCAGCCAAACTGATTGCTTCTAGCATTTCATGCACTTGTAGGCTGTACAGCCTACTGATAGCTTTTGAGAAAGTTTGATGTGTTCGGTAATTTTTCATCAATTTTTTTTCTGGGGTTACCTGTGCCCAACAATGGCAAAAAGGACTGTGGTGTCATATCAACCAAAACATAGCTGGAGGCAGGAAAATGAGTAGAACCATGTGCCAGAAGTGTCTGAAGGGCCTCCAAGGGCCTTCCTTCCCAAAACACAAGTATTAGGACTAATTAAAATTTTATCCATAAAAAAATGCACCCACAATTTTTAGGTTAGTCATGTTTGTTCCCAGAAAAAAAAAATCTTGCATAAATTATGCAAATCAGAATAGTTACTTTGAATAAATGTTGACATATCAGTTTGTTTCATAAATATTCTGTTAGCTCATTCAATTTCCTACACAAATATGTATAGTTTTGTATATGTTAATTAAACATTTTATTTTGTTAATAATATTTTGTATATAAACTATGAGAATCCCATCCTTAAGGCTTCATGTTTTTGGTACTGAAACTCCCAAAAAGCTCTGTCTCCAGAGAGTTAATTTAAAAAAAAATGTAATTATGCTCACCTCATTTACACAATGCACAGTTGCAACCAGTATCAAAGTTGCAATGTATTCCTGTCATGGAGTTTTTCTTTTTTTTAAAGACCTACCCTGGCTGCATGGCACGGAGGTGTGTCAGCACACGAACTGATACATGATGCAGGAGATCGCAGATTATGGAGAGGCATGATCGCCCACGGCAAGGCACCTGATGATGATGACCCTGGCTGTAGTTAAGGGCCCTAATATAACCTAACGGTTGAACGTAGTTTCTGGGACTTGTACCCGGGTCATCCTCATCTATATGATGTCACTTTGTGTCATCAGATGTTGGTTAATCATTGTCCACGGTCCTGATGGGGTTAGGCGACAAACATCAAAGTTGTTATATAGGTATATTGCCCACTGCCAAAGACAGTGGAAGAGTAGAAAAACCAGGTTTCTCAGGGCAACAGGGTTAATAACTTTGCACTCAGCTGCCATATTTCTGCTTATTTCTTCCTGTTTACTTTACTAGGTCTAAACTGGGTACCAGGATGTATGTCCTGGGGAAGTAAAAATAGCGAGCATAATGCTGACCACATCACCAACCTAGTGCCGATTGTCTGTAAAAATAAGGATGCTCTTCCCATATGCCCAATGGGCCTGAAGGCATGAATTGGTATATTTACTTTACTTACTTTACATTATGCTACAATATCTAATTTACTAATAAAAATATGTTTACACTTTCAGTATCCAGCAGGTGCAGTGTTTCCTCCAGTCCCATCTGTAAGTGACACTTATCTTTGTAGTTTAACATATATTTCCTTAGAAGGTCTCTTCACTTTGCTTAGATAGAGGAGCTTCAGTTTCTCACACTTTCCCCAGGAGTTGATAGCCAGTGAATGTGGTGAAGGAGAAGAAGAAGAAGAAGAAGAAGAAGAAGAAGAAGAAGAAGAAGAAAAAAAAGAAGAAGAAGAAGAAGAAGAAGAAGAATAGGAAGAAGAAGAAGAAGAACAAGAAGAAGAAGAAGAAGAAGAAGAAGAAGAAGAAGAAGAAGAAGAAGAAGAAGAAGAAGAAGAAGAAGAAGAAGAAGAAGAAGAAGATGAAGAAGAAGAAGAAGAAAAAGAAGAAGAAGAAGAAGAAGAAGAAGAAGAAGAAGAAGAAGAAGAAGAAGAAGAAGAAGAAGAAGAAGAAGAAGATGAAGAAGAAGAAGATGAATAAGAAGAAGACAAAGAAGAAAAAGAATAAGAAGAAGCAGAAGAAGAAGAAGATAAAGATGAAGAAAGAAGAAGAAATTTTTAAAGGTTAGAGGTTTGACTTCATTTTTCTAGGTTTGATCCCTAATGACCCCATGTCACTCAGAAGAGGAACTAGTCACTTGTGACAACATTACACAAAGCAAAAATCATGTAGCCCAAGAACTTATGAACTGATGAATGGAGTGAAAGCAAACTCTTAACCTTCAGAACACAAGTCAGGCAGCTTAATCCATTCACCACGAAGACCCCTTATATATTTGATAGTAACAAATGACAAAGTAAAGAAAGATGCTATGCCAGGATGAGTTTTTAGAACTCATGATACAGCTGCAACTTTGTTTATCATTGACCATCAGTGAAGAAAATGCTGCCATTGCTTCATTGTTACCATAGAAACGTTTTCACACTGAATTTTAGGTTTTTTAAATGGAATTCAATATCTTTTTTTAATTGTTACTTTAGGCCCTTGGAAGATTAATTTTTATAAAATATAACATCATGGTATTTTTTATTGCTTTTATTTAAAAAAAAAAAAAAAATGGCCTGCAACTGACTGTGATAACTAGGTTGTCAGAATTGTGAAACTGTGTTTATACCCCAAAAGTCACAGATGCTAGCAAATAAGATAAGGAATGTAAAAACAAAAAGTAGTAAGGGAAGAGTGTAGTTAGAAAAGAAATGGGACAGGGATGATGGTAGCAAGGGAAGTTAATTATAGTAAGGAAGAGTAGACAGTAACAAGGGAAGATGATTTAGGAAGGGGATAAGAACAATGGTAGCAAGGGGAGATAATGGTAAGGAATAGGGAAGTTTGAGGCAAGGGAAGATAATGGTAAGGAATTGGGAAGTTTGTGTCAAGGGAAGATAATGATTAGGAACAGGGAAGTTTTTGGCAAGGGAAGATAATGGTAAGGATCAGGAAAGTTTGTGACAAGGGAAGATTATGGTAAGCAATAGGAAAATTTGTGGGAAGGGAAGATAATAGTAAGAAATTAGGAAGTTTGTAGCAAAGTAATAAAATCATAAGGAACAGGGAAGTTTGTGACAAGGCAAGATTATGGTAAGGAATAGTGAAGATTTTAGCATGGGAGGATAATGGTAAGGAACAGGGAAATTTGTAGCAAGGGAAGATAATGATAAGGAGTAGGGAGGTTTGTGGCAAGGGAAGATAATGTTGAGGAATAGTTGAGATTGTAGCAAGGGAAGATCATGGTAAGGAAAAGGGAAGATGGTAGCAAGTAGAGATAATCATGGTAAGGAATAGTAAAGATGGTACAAAGGAAAGTTATAGTAAGGAATAAGAAAGCCGGTGGATCAAAGTTGAAAAAAAAAGGAAGATGATAGCAAGGGAATATGGTAAGAAAGACAATAGCAAGGGAAGATAATTAAGGTAAGGAATAGGAAAAGGTTGAAAGGGAATATAATATGTTTACATACATATATTTATACACACAAACACATAGAAAAAGACCTTTCTCGACACCTAACCTATTAGGTTAGACATATATTTTATAGACCAATTGACAGTTGGGGGTTGATGTGGTCAGCATCATGCCAAGTACCTTTACTTGTCAGAACCGTACCTGGTACCCATTTAAAAGTGGGTCGACCTGGTAACTAAGGACATTTTGGATATAATTCTGGCTTCGCAAGACTCGAACCCACAACTTTCCGATCCAATGGCAAGCGTCTAGTCGCTTTACTATGGCAGTTCCCACACAAAACGCTTACATTTATTTTGTGTGTGTATATATATATATATATATATATATATATATATATATATATATATATATATATATATATATATATATATGTGTGTGTGTGTGTGTGTGTGTGTGTGTGTATATACATACATACATACATATTGTGTCAGGTCTTGGTCAGATATGACTGAGCTTCGGTATAACAGTAGCAGGTACTGTCTGTCTTCTGTTAACGCTGAATGTTGGGTGGCGTATACCAAACCTAACATCCCATATTGTGAAAACCACTTTGAGCGGAGGAGAGCATGGAGGCGGGGGGGGGGGGGGGGGGGGGGGGGGGGCTATCCTTATCCTGGTAAGAGAAAACACAACCTGAAAACCTTATGTTATGGCAGGCTAGACCAGACCCTTAGCCTTGGTTGGCAACTGGTCTAGAAGGAAAGCTCCAACAGGCAGATTATGCATGCTCTTCTGATCCGGCAACTTCTGCAGCCTGCCTTTGTTTAAAACGTACTGGTGTTACCTTTCCTTTGGAGCAAACAAGGCAGGGTGAGAGAGGGATTATGATGCATGGGTAACATATGGTCGCTAAAATACTGCCCAGTTCCATGCTATGGAGAGGATGAACATTATTCCTGGCTGTAATATATATATAATATGTATATTAAGAATTTTGCTTTTGAAGTGTACTAGCACATGTATTTCAGAAGTGGATGCATCATTATGATGTTCTTTATGTTTTCAGTATCCTTCAGCACCAAGCTACCCACCAGCCTATGGTGGGGGACCACTTTATAATCCTGTGAGTTTTACTTATCTTTCTTTTATTGCATTGACTGATATTATTTATGATTCCATAGTAAAGTATGTTTGCAGGTTGCTTTGCTTTGTTTAAATTGAACAATTGAACATATACTGGAAAAAGCAAAGAGAAATGCTTGGAGAAAAGAAGAGTTCTTTAAAAAAAATATATCTGCTAGAAAGAGGGTAGTTTCACTTTTAAAGACTGCAGTGATATGGAAAATTTTACACACACAATACAACAGAAGAAAATTGCACCTTCCAGTCTTTTTTAGCTATTTATTTGAGAAATTACACACACATAGAAGTAGTTGTCTATATAGTTAAATATATACCCAACACGCCCAAATGCCCACACACATAGACTGATAAAGAGTAAAAGACATACATTAAGACAGATAATTGTTGTGAATGTAGAAAAAATACATATTTGCTGTGTAAAGGAATTCTCATAATTTGTAATAGTTGCTATATCACCAACTTAGAAATTTCACATTGATTATACACATAAAAAAAAAAAAGTTAAGGACCTTTTCCACGCCTTTAGGCGTATAGGGCATATAGGGGGCTAGATCTATATTTTATAGACCAATCGGCACAAGATGGGTCATGTGGTCAGCATCACTCATGTCGCCTTTACTCCCCGGGACTGCACCCGGTACCCACTCAAGGCTGGGTTGACCTAGGAGCCAAGGTCATTTTTGAAAAAAAAAGTTCGGCTCCGCCAGGGAGCAAACCCACAACCTTCTGATCCGCGGTGAATTATACACATTACCCACATCAAAAGGAGACAATATTGATTTTTTAAAGTCACATTATAAGAAAGAGAAAGCCGGAATACACGTGATGGTGAGAGAGAGTTGAAAGGAAGAATGAGAGAGAAGATGCTGAACACTTTTACACCATCGTATGAAAAATAAGCTGTATCAAAAATGATTGAAAGTACATTAAACTGAAGGTTGGAAATGACATGACTGTCAACATCACACATCATGAATTATAATAAAAAAGTGAACATTAACATTCATATACTCTCTTTTCCTGAGTCAACATACAGTTAATAACCTATGTGATTTTATTTCGTTACTGTTTATTCAGCCTGTACCATTGACAACACCCATCCAAGGAGGGTTGTATCATGGAAAGATCATTTATATATCTGGAGTACCTCACCACAGTCCCAGTCGGTGGGTATATTGTTGGTTTTTTAAATATTTAGAATCAGGTAATCAAGTAATGGCATCTCTAGCTTCATAGCTGATATGTCACGCCATAGTTGCTTTATTCCTGAGCCAATAAAAATCAATAAAACAGTTGAACGAAGAAGACACAAACAATAGATTGCACAATTTATTGCCAGGCATATTTCGCTGTATCTAGTCAGATGCATACTACAATAACAATTGATTAAAATGAAGCAAATAAATGAATTCTTGGAAACTCAGTAAATTGTGAATTTGTGTCTTCTTTGTTCAACTTCACAATGGGGAAACATTTATTTGAAAACAGTTGACAAAGACTGCAATCTTAACAAATACAACAGTATACATGTACATTAAATGCATAAGGTAACAGAAGTGCCAACACAAACAGTCCAACACAAGATTTGCAGTTCATCATCAATAAAAGCAGCAGTTACAACAAAACATTATTGTGCATGCAGTTCATTACATAAGGCACCACAAGTTCTCTAGCAACAGGCCACTCACCATTTTTTTTAAAATTTGCAGTTCACAACACAAACCACATTGTGCATAGTCAAACAGTATTCCAAATGAAATTCGCAGCTCAGTAAATCACTCTGTGCACTCACCTCTTCAGCTATGTGATGAAACTTTCAGTTTAAATATAGAGAAAAATGCAACAGCTTACAATTATTATTGTCAGAAGCAAACACTTGCCCCGAATAAAAAAAAAAAAAAAAAACCCCATTAAATCTGCCTGTCCATCATATTGACTTGAAGACAGCCAGTTTAGGATGTTTTGCCAGGTCCACTCTACTTGTGGCAAAGTATTCATGCTCTAAGGGTATATGGGTTCAATTTAGGACTTTGCAATTTGGTTTATGAGTGCAGAAATTTTGAAGATACTTGTGCTGGAGCTATGGAGTTTGTGCTTTTTTTTGCACAATATCTTCTTATTGTGTAGTACTTTATTTGTGCACTATTTCCTCTTTTTGCACAATATCCTCTTCATATCACTGTTGACACGAAGCATTCACACATGATCTCTATTGCTGTTGGTCTGCTGCTTTTCTGCCCATCGTATCCCATGACATTTCACATTCCTTCATTTCTCTTTCTACTTTCCTTCTTCAGATTTTTTTAATTAAGTAGCCCATGTCTCCATTTTCTTTTTCATCTGCCATCTACTGGAGAGGTGTCCTTGCCAGTTTGTCATAAGGTTTTTTTGCATGAAAGCAACTGTTTAAGTATGTTCGTCCATGTGACAGTTTTCCTCCCTCAGGCTGCTATTTAACAACCTTGTGAATCAAAGAGTCACATCCTGGGTGTCAATCCCATAGGGCAAATCCTTAATTCAAACTTCTAAGAAGTTACTTTGTAGTTTAAAGGCAGTTATAGTTGACATTAATTAATTGTCCATCATTTCAGTGACTTCTAACTCAATGATTTTATATGGATACAGGCATAGGTCGTCCCCATGTGGGATGCAATTTTTTTGTTATTTGAAGCCCCACCCTGGCTTTTGCCGGGGGCCCTGAATATAGATATGACCTTGCCATAGATATGACTGAATGGCTGAAAGGGGTTTCTGGAACCTCTCCACAGGTGATTCTCATCCGCATGGTGGCACTGTGTGTCACCAGGTGTTTATCGCTGGTGGGGTACAGCTACCTACCAACCTACCAATGATTTTATATTTTCACAATGTACAGATTCACAATAAATCTGGCGTGTGGAAGCTACGATTCAGCTGACTATGGACTCACTTTTGATGTCCGTTTCAACTACAGCAATTGTTACAATGTTGTTGTTCGAACACATAGACAGAATGGAAGCTGGGGGCCTGAAGAAAAGCATCAGAATTACTTCCCCTTTTCCCCTGGTGCAGATTTTGAGATAATGATTCTGGCAGAACACAACGCTTACAAGGTAAAATAATAATTTGTATTTATGTGTGTATATGTGAGTGTGTATGAATGTGTACATAAATACATTTGTACATCAATTTATGATTTTGGACATCATGGGGTAGGTGAGGTGTATCTTTGTGGCACAGCGAGGAAGCACAAGTAGATCATCTGGTCATCCTGGTCATCCTGGTCATCCTGGTCATCCTGGTCTATAGAAAATGCTGCAGAGGGGAGTGATCAGAGATCTGGAAGACACTCAGAGGAAAGGCAAGAGGGACTTACAATCAGACTTGTACCATCTTCTTCTTCTTCTTCTTCTTTGCGTTCACCAGCTGTACATTCTGGCGTAAAGTTCTGGTTGTTCGTCCACTTCTGGACTGCAGTCCTGCTCCAGAACCTGGGTGTTGCATGTGCATCAATTTTACAGATCTGATTCTATTGAATGGAGACTGCTGGTTCCTTACCTCTCAGGCAGATGCACTTCGACTTCAAAGGAAGCTCCCCAATTAGTCAACTCTTACGACATGCTTTTGGGGAGGCAGTGGGTCTATTCTTGTTTTCCCCACAATAGGGCCCCGGAACCCACACGGGGGAGACTTGTACCATCAAAACTGGAATTCTTCACTGACTGCTGAAGATGAGGATTGAGCACTTCTCGCAGGTTCCCAAATGTTATGATATTGGTTCTCACGTCTTTCAGTCCCAGATTTCCCAAGAACATGACCTAAAGTGAACAGTAACCCCAGTGAAATAGAAACAGTTTATTACTTTTAAAGTGGCAACATTTGATGTGCCGCATATATTTAGCCAGATTTTCTTTGTATAGCAAGACCAAATATAAATGAAATAATAACGCACTGTCTGATGTTTGATACACTCAGACAATAGCTGATCACACATTGTAGGTTTTTTGGGATAAGAAAATTTTAACTCAACTGTTCATGGCAAAGTAGTTATGGAAAAATGGTTAAATCATGTGCCACATGCTCTCACGGTTGTGGATTTTGTTTCAGTCTATATCCTTTGCTTCACAGTTGCCAGTCCCTGAGGTTTTTTGCTGGTTTTTTACCTGGGTCCCATTTGAGGCTGGGTTGACCTAAGAGTTAAAGTCATTTAAAAAAAAAAAAAAAAAAGTCCAGCTCCACTCAGATTTGAACTCACAACCTGCAGATATGCATGCAGGCATCTAGCTGCTACACCATGGTGGCTCCAGAGTGTCATTATTTGTGTGCTGCTTTTTATGGACAAACAACTATTCTGCAAAGAGAGATTGAGCCATATGCTATAAAACCCAATGTAATCACAATGTTCCTGTTCCTTTTAAATGCTCTTCAAATTGGTCATCTACCAGATAGATTAAAATAAAACATAACATTCTTCATATTGTCTGGATCTTTTTTCAAAGATATGCTGGTGTGATGGGAAATCAACGGGTGGACAGACTGGCTGGCCCTGCTAACTTGCGGAATACTGATTCATGATAAAACAGACGCGGTTAAGGCATTTTGGGTGCATGTTTACAATTCAGAACTGCAAATTGATCACTTCAGTCTGGTGATTATGGAAAATAATGGCAAGATATGGAGTAAGCGAACACCTCATCGAAGTGTGCAAAAGTTTATACAGGGATTGTAGAAGTGTAGTTAGAATAAATCAGGGAACATCTCATCCTTTCACAGTGTCACAGTAAGACAGGGGTGTGTCTTATCACCACTGCTGTTTATCACCTACATCGACAGTATATGCAAGAATGCCAAGCCCATGAATGAAGATCTTAGTAAGATCAACGAATTACTCTTTGCAGATGACCAGGCCTTGATAGCAGATACAGCCATGAAATTGCAACAACATCTAACATCCATGAATGAAGAATGTAAAACAAACAATATGAGAATCAACACTGAAAAGACAGAAGTCATGTCAAAAGGAAAAAAGAAGACAGATCTAAACATAGCAATAGAATACAAAGATATTAAACAGGCATCTGAGTTTAAATATCTGGGAACTACATTTACCGAAGATGGGAAATTGGATAAAGAAATTGACATTAGATGCAGTAAAGCAAACCGAGTATTGGGACAGCTAGCCCCCCTCTTACAGCATAAGACAATCCCAATCAGCACAAAGAGACATCTTATTCAAAGCATATTTATTCCAACTCTGTGCTACCAGTGCCAGACATGGTCACTCACAACAAACCATAAAAGAAAATTAGTAATCACGGAAATTAGATGTCTGAGAAGGGCTGTAGGAGTGACCATAAAAGATAAGATCAGGAATGAGATCATAAGAGAACAAGTTGGCACAGAACCAATACTGGATTACATACAAAGACAGCAAGTGAAATGGTTTGCCCACTTAGAGAGAATGCCTTGTGACACCATACCATACAAAGCATACATGGAAAGAGAAGAAGGACGTAGAGCACAGGGTAGACCAAGAACAAGATGGAAGGATAACATCAGAGAAACTCTACAACAGCACGATGTGCCTGTGGTTGAGGCAGCCAGAAGAGCTAGAAACATAACCTTATATCTCCCTCGACACCCACAGCGGTAAAAGAGGAAGTGAAGAAGAGAAGAAAAAGAAGAAGTCTGGTGAGAGTGATGCAGTGATAAGTGATGAGGGGTTCTGCTCGATACTCAATGCTCAGAGGAAAGGGAAGAGGGACATATAATCAGACTGCTACCGGCATCATTGGTACTCTGCACTGGCTGCTGAAGCTGGGGATGGAGTGCTTATGGGAATGCCCAGAGTGCTGTGATGTCAGCTGAACTGTTTCATATTTTTTTGCATTCATCCTTAACAAGGAAGTTGGAACATTGTGTTGTGGTTTACCGCTAGACTGTGTTATTTGCCCCTTTCAGCGTAACACATCTGATTTCCACAAAACTCTAAATAGTCGCCTTTTATGACATATTTGTCATGGGGGGAATGGGTCTGTTACCCTCTCCCACCCCCTTCCCATGAAAACAATTGAGCCACGGAACCAGCACATTATATTACAAATTATTACATTAAAAACTAAACTAAAAAAGAATAATCAGGAAATAGGTATGTTCTGAAAGATCCACTGGTTTTAATTCTCACGCTTGATGTATTGAAACTCAGGTCATCCAAACCCTAAAAAAGGCCTCCTTGTTTTGAAGTGAAGTTGTCTCCTTTTAAATTTCAGTTATGTGCCCCCACCATCTTTTTTCCCTCCAAGCATGTCATAATAAGCAGCTAATTAAAGATTTCCTGAGATCAGATGTGGTGGGTTGAAAAATGCAGATACCACCACATCCTAGCTGTAATAACACGACCTGCCAACTGATCTTTTAATGGTCAGCATAGAAGAAGAAGAAAAAGAAGAAGAAGAAAAGGAGTGAGGTTGATGTAGAGAAAGGGTGTGAGCAACTTTTTTTGGGTTCATGGGCCATGTTTTAAATTACCTTCCCAATCTAGTTGTGGACCATATAGGAAAAAAATCCATTATAAACATAACACCAAGATTTATAATTCCTATGCTACGTCTCTGGCCAGACACATTCACCCACTGAAGCCCTTCTATATATTTCTAAATACTTCTGTTCAGAGAAAAAAGAATGCCAGCAGAAAGACACTGTCTCCTATTGTCTGAGTTGTTCAGAGCATAGGTTTCACCAGCAGGATAAAAGATTTGGTGACATCAGTTTCTGCTTAGTACTATCTAGGTCATCACTTTTTTTTTTTTATGTTGATTTTTTTATTTTTTATTTCTGCTATGAATGCATATTTTATGTTCTGCTATTCACTGTGGAAACAGAAAAAGTGGATAAGGGATAATTTTGTGACTCAGCAACTGAATAAGTAAATTAAAAAGTTATCCATGACTTAGTAAGTCAAGATAAGATAACTAGTTTCAAGATTGCCTGTTGTTAATATAACTTTGTTTCTTCTCCCTAGATTGCTGTGAACGGCCAGCATTATACTGAATTCTTTCATCGTATTCAGCCATTACAGAGAATAGATTATCTGAATGTGACTGGAGATGTGCGTCTCACACTAGTGCGATTCCAGTAGGCTGAATGTATTCTAACAGCTCATCCCTGCAGGCTTGTGCAGTGCTGCAGATGTGTCGTTAACTGGTGATTTTAAGAAATATTTGTGACTAAATCCAAGGAAAAAAGAAAAATATAGAATTGTCGAATTACATACATTTTTACTTTGGCATTGCAAGGGTGGGTCAAAGAACTAAATACCTGGATGAGTTGACCATGACTTCCTGTGTTTGTTGGTAAAGCACATGATCATGTTGAAAATAACTTAATGTGAGATAAGCAACACTGCATGTGGGAAAATAATCTAGATGGAGCATGTAGAGAGAATGGCAAAAAACAGAGAAAGAAAATCTGCATACACAAAAGAGTTGAGTTTGAATAGACCATGAGAAACACCAAGAATATGATGGAGAATTAATATACAGGTAGACTTACAAACACTTGGAGTCACCAACTGGAAAGAGAAGGCCAGTTACAGAGATGAGTGACATCTGCTGCAGTGAACCTTTATGGCTTGCAATGTTGAAGAAGAAGATCTAATAGCAAAGTAATATACAATTGCTAAATTATATAAATTTACAGGCAAGATCCAATTAGTACTTTTGATGTATAGACATTTATTTGGCTAGACTGAATCACACATTGTTGCGTTACATAAATATCAATGGCTAGACGTAAAAACAAAGAAATATAAAAGAGCTAGAGATACTGGGAATGAAACAAATTGCTTATTATTAAATATCTTACAATTTGCTTTCATATTACATTTTAATGTGGTGATGTGTGTTTCAACTGATTGAAGCATTTTACTGCCTCTTTGTACCTACCATACTTTTGTTTTCCATCTTTTATGAGATCTTTCAGACTCCTTTTTAGCATTAAAAGTCTTATAATTATGTCTATAATCTAATTTTTATAATTATGTAAATTCCTTAGAGAAATTAGACAGTGCAGTCAAAACTTTCTAGTCTAGCATGGAGATATCAGCTTGAAATCTGAGTGAAAACAGTAAACATATTGGAAATCTTGCAAGGGTGGGTCAAAGAACTAAATACCTGGATGTCTTGACCACATGGTATAGGCAGAACCAGCCTACAGACCTGACTTACAATCATATCACATGGTGGACCATGACATTCTGTATAGCACATGATGATGATGAAAAGACGCTCATCATCAGGTGCCTTGCCGACTTGCGTGGGCGATCATGCCTCTCCATAATCTGCGATCTCCTGCAGCATGTATCAGTCCGTGTGCCGACACACCTCCATGCCATGCAACAAGACTGTCAAGCATCTTCTCTCGTTGTCTTCCTCTATCCCTCCTTCCACAGATCTTTCCAGTGGTCACAACATGTTCTATTTTCCCTCTTCTCCTAACATGGCTGAAAAATTATGACTGTCTCCTTCTGATGTCTGTGATAAGTTGTCTTCAGGCTCTTGCCTCTTTCGAAACCTCTTGGTTGCTCTTTTTAGCTGTCCAAGGTATTTTAAGCATTCTTCTGTAAAACCACATCTCTGAGGCCTCAAGAAATTGTTTGGCCTGCCTACCGATTTTCCAGGATTCACAGCCATATAAAAACTGGATGTATATAGCAAGCAAGAATTCTTTTTCTAACTCTCAATAACAAGGACATATTGCACAAGATGTTTTTCATTTTATAAAATGGTTTTATAAAAGACGCTACTCTTATAAAAACTTAATGTGAGATAAGCAACACTGCAAGTGTTTAGCTAATCTCGATATACAAAGGGAAGTAAGAAAAAATATAACCACTGCAGCCAACCTCCACTGGGGAGAGATCCATTGATTGACTGAGATGTGACTAGTGTTTATTCATTTCAGTTAAAGCCCATTCTAAAAATAATGGAAATTATTTTCTTGGACTAAAGTGAAGGCTCTATTGTTAAGTTATGAAATCAGTAATTTCAGAAAACTTTATTTGTGAAGTAAACTGCCCTGAGATTGTTTGAAGTAAGAATTTATTTTGATTGAATTATTAGTATTTGATTACAACAATATGCTTCATCAACAGTTTTCGTAATTTATAATGAGTTAATTAAGACTAATGATTTTGTGTAAAATTTGAAAAATACGATTGTTTCAGGAATGCTATTGGTAACTTCTGCATTCTTAGTATATATTAATTTATTATTAAAAATATTTGTTTGATAAAAACTTCAAGCACTTAGTTTTTTTATGACGCAAGGCATTTTCTAGAGCAGAAGAATTATTTAGTGTGTAGTTGTACAGAATGTAATGATTCCAAAAAGTGCATATGTGATGAGTAATTGTTCTACAGAGAAATTTTTAGTGTGTAGTTATTCCAGAAAGAGACTGTGTTGTATGCATTGATTCATCATCATCAAGAAGCAGGTTCTTTGCAGACTCTCATCACAGTCTGCCTGACAGAAACTCAAAATCTCTTTTCAGCTTTTCCACCTGTTGCACTTTCATATCCAAGAAGTCCCTTATATCCTGTGCCCATCTTTATCTTGGTCAGCCCTTGCCCCACCTTCCTGGTACCATGCCTTCTGCTAATATTTTTACTCCAACATACTAGGGCTAAATAGGGCCAGTCTGGCCTGAATACAGAATAAACAAGGCAGAATTTATTTGACATTTCCTACTTTTCTCTGGGCTGAGAAAGGTGAAGACAGGGATGCTTCGAGCAGAGTGGCAAGCTTCACTGGAAAGGTCACAGGTAGTGAGCATACTTTAGATCTTTTCTCCAGGCCATGCCAGCATGGTGGGTAATGAACAGGCAGACAGATTGGCAGAATCTGCACCACTGGGTGGTGAACTGATACATGATAAGACAGATGTGGTCAAGGCCCTTTGGGAACCAGCAACGGAATCAGTAGAGAAACAAGATTATTATGGCCCAGAGAGAATGAGGCACCTGGGTGTAACCAGAGGGTCTGGTCGGCTCACTACACACAGAGAAAAGGCAAAATTGACATATAACCAGATTGTGACCAATACCATCAGTATTGGAACTCTGCACTAGCTGCTGAAGATGAGGACAAAGCATGCATGGGAATGTCCAGTGCTGTGATGTTATTTCTTGACTCAGCTCAACTACAACTCAACTCACTTTTCTCTGGTGGCCACAATGTGAGTTAGGTTTATGTATTTTGACTGAAGTGGCTTTTAGCTATGACAACTCTTGACATCTAATAGTAAAATCACAGCAATGAACATGGCTGACAGAAGTTACCTATACTGAATGTTTACCCAGCTCGAGTAGCCACTGAGAGTTGGCCTACAGTTAACTGACACTTGAACTCTGGATGAGTCCATTTTGGTGTGGGGTGTGCAAAACACCGATCTACACAAAAATAAGCCAGGTATGTAAAATGGATGTGCATACCAAATTAAAGTTCTGGAACAGGACTCAACCGGGAAGTAGAGGCGGCCAGCATGATGCTGACCACATCACCCATTGTGTGCCATTGGTCTATAAAAATATAGGTCTAGCCCTATATGCCAAAAGGCGTGGAAAGGGTCCTTTACTTACTTACTTACTTAAAGGACTAAAGTCCAGTAGTGGGCCAACAGCCAGACTTTCTGCTAGTTTACAGCCATAAATGCGAAGAAGAAGGAGATTATTGCAGTTTCAGTTAATTTTGCTATCTTCTACTTCTTCTTCTTAGCATTCCAAGCCCTTGGGGTTCATTGCTGCAGATATCACCGCCACCATTCATCTCTCTGGCTGGCCTTCTCCATTTTGCTATGAATAGAATAAACACACTCTTCTCCTAGAGATAACTGACACACTTGCATCCTTCATAATTTCCCTGTCATTTCAAAGTTCTTTCATTAAAAAAACAGACAAAGAATAAATAACCATAATATTTAATTAACAAGCTATGGTAAATATATTATATATCTAATATAGTAACACACACACACACACACACACACACACACACACATGCAAAGTGTTAGGGTATATAATAATATAGTTCCATATTTATATTGACCAATATGCACTTGATAAGTAAAAAGATCAGTATCCTGCTAGCCACTTTACTTCCCCAAACATTTCCTGGTACTTATTTTAAAGCGATCTTTGAGTCGATGTAAACTTTACCGACCCCCCCCCCCCCCCCCCCTCCCCCCCACCCCCAAAAATGGCTTGGGATATAATATATATTATTTGTATACTACATGTAATTAAACTTTTGGAATGATCATGTGTCTTTACATTGATTTACAATTATTATTATGTGCCAAGCCCAACAATGCAGAAAATTAGGTTCATCTGCCACAGACTGATTTCTGTATTGTCAATAAATTTGCTCATTCCTTCCAAAACACAAAATCAGCGATCTAAATTTTTTATAATTCACTGACAAACATGATAATATGGACTGGAAATATATTTATTTTTTATAATAAAATAAATATATACTGTATTGGAGAATTCATCGTTGATATCAACTCTCATCACAATTTATTTTTCATTCTTAAAGTGTTTTTATCCCACAACTACAACCATTTTACAAAGCTTTTTAATATGCCTTAATTTAACTTACTAAATTATTTACTTGACTACATCTAAGTAAAATTAAATAAAAACTCAAGTGATTCACAACAACTTAGAAACATGAAATGCCAGAAATAAACAAGCTAAGGCACAATTTCTAATTCTACTCTGAGAGATATCTTCTGGCAATTAGTTAATGAAGTAAGTTAAGATAAATGCTTTCAGTTGGTTAAATATTTTTGGAAAAAATCATGTGGAAAGTTGTTGAGAACAACATAAAATACAGAAAATGCTACAAATAATTTAAAATAGAAAGAAAGAAGAAAGGCAGACGTACAAGGAATGAGACGTCCAGTCACAGAGATGAATTTAGACAAGTGACATCTGCAGCAAAAAAAAAACATAAGAACTCGAAATGCTGAATAATAAAAAGAAAAAGTAGAAAAGCAGGTTTAAAAAAAAAAAGACCTGGGCACTACGGTGGTTTAGTGGATAGATGCCGAATCTGCAGGCCTGAAGGCTTTGGGTTTGAATCTGCATCAAATCAAATTTAAAAAAAAACCAAATAAAAAAAAACTTGGCTCCCAGGTCAACGGAACTTAAAGTTGGTGCTAGAAAAGGTCCTGGGAAGCAAAGGCAGCTGGGATGGTTTTGACCACATCCCCTATCTAGGTCTATAAAAATATGAGTCTAGCATCAGATACCCAAGGCACAAATGATGTGAAAAAGATTCCCCCCCCCCCCCCCACCAAAAAAAAAAGAAAGAAAGCAAGAGTGCAGCACTGAGCCCATGAAACATATAATGAAACTAATAAGGAAGTTAGCAAGCTGATTCTGAATGATAACAGTCACTATTTGGATTTCTGGAAATAAAACACACAAAATCACAGTGAAAGCTAATTTCAGAGATGTTCACATCACCACAAGAGAAATAATAGGTAAGGTAAACACAATCAACTAAGTGGATTAATTCAAAATATATTTGTTGTTACTGCCTTTATATACCACATTTTATGGTGACAGTTGGCAGGGAGGTCTTTAACTTGAAGATTTAGTACAGCATGTCTTAGCCGTCACAGTTTAAAAAAAAAAGTGCCCAGTACCTTATCAGCAGTTATAAGAGAGAGAGAATGAACGAACGAACTAGCTTTATTTTCAAAGGGTCACAAATTGGGCACGCAGGCCCGTCTTACATTCGGCCCTTCCAAACACCCGTCTTTCCCACTGCAGCTGTATTTTATCAATAAGCATGTTATATTCATATGATAATACGCATATTATGAATATCAAAAAAGAGGAAAAAAAAGAAGAAAAAAAGCACAAATGCATGGGTGGTAAAGTGCATGCACACACTCACACACCCGCCCACCCACTCACTTAAACACACCCACATACCTTCACACACACATAAACACACCCCATTCACCTACATGCATACCTATATACCCACACAGACACGCACACTCCACACATATAGAGAGAAGATAGTGGCCACATTCAGAGAAGAGATGTACCGAGTATCATCAAACAGGTACTGAAATGGGAAATTGAGAATCTGAGGAAAGAGGGACATCCAAGAGAAACCAGAGCACTGGACTGGATTGTCCATAAAGCTGAGGTGACTGCCCAGAACAGAACGGAATGAAGGAAAAAAACTGAGAGCCCTATGTGAAACATAACGGCACAGAGAACAATGAAAGAGTGAATGAACCTTGCAGAGGATTCTATCCTGGGTCTCACAGGACAGTCTAGCTCATTAGCCACTCAGCCAGCCATATGCAACATATCAAAGTTCATCAGAATTAACAAGATTAAGATTAAGAGATTAAGTGATAAATAACTGTAGCAAATGCTCTGATAAAGTCTCAAATATAACATTAAAAACAAAAAGATGAGTGATAACAGTCAATATTTTGAAATATAGGATGAAAAAAATGAAGTAATCACAGAAAGATAGTATCAGAGTTATTCATAGCACCTCGTGAAAGACATACATAAATATACCAGCCAAGTGGATAGATACAAAATATTAACTAATATTAAAATAAACAAATTAACTGATTTTAAAGAAACAATGATAATTTGGTGGAACTAATACTTTGAAGAAGAAAGAAAAGAACAGTTAAAAAAATAAAGCTCGCAGAATGGAGTACCCTGTCCAGGTTTCAGGAGTACCCTGTCCAGGTTTCAGGGCCCTATTTTAAGAAAAAAGAATCAATTCACTGCCCCTCAAAAAGCATGTCATAAAGGGTGACTAATTAAGGATTTGCTGAAATTTGATGTGTTGGGCTGAAAGGCACAGATACTGCAGTCTATTTGTAAACCACACTATGATGTAAAACAACTAATTTTAAGGGTGATGGCCAACAGAAGAAAAAGAAGAAGAAGATGAAGAAGAAGAAGAAACAGAAGAAGAAGATGGAGAAAAAGAAGAAGAAAGAAGAAGAAGAAGAAGAATAAGAAAGAAGAAGAAGAAGAAAAAGAAGAAGAAGAAGAAAAAGAAGAAGAAAAAGAAGAAAGAAGAAGAAAGAAGAAGAAATAGAAGAAGAAGAAAGAAAGAAGAAGAATAAGAATAAGAAAGAAGAAGAAGAAGAAGAAAAAGAAGAAGAAGAAGAAAAAGAAGAAGAAGAAAGAAGAAGAAGAAGAAGAAGAAGAAGAAGAAGAAGAAGAAGAAGAAGAAGAAGAAGAAGAAGAAGAAGAAGAAGAAAAAGAAGAAGAAGAAGAAGAAGAAATAGTGGAGTGAGAAAACAATTGAGATTCTAAATTCAAAAATGTAAGTAGCAATTAAATTTGAGAAGAATGAGAAACTGCCAAGTTAAGATTGTATCTCAATAGAGCAGACAATTATATCTTTCCCCAGAAATTCTGCAAGGCTCCAGGACTGTTACCAGCAATGCCTGGTGCACTACTGGAACCGCACTTGGGTGAGCTGCACATCTCCAACAACATTCACGTGGTCTATCTTGTTTAGGGGTTGAATTCTGTGATGGAACTCAGTAAAATGCTGGTTGTTCACAACAATCTGCATGTAAAAATAAAATAATCATTAAAATGGACCTATAGCAGGTACTGCCATTCAGAGTGGAGTGTTCACATTTTATAGCTCATGATTCATTAGGTGAGGGTTGCCAATTACCTCCCTCACTGCAATTATTCCCAGCCAAATCCAAGAATATTCTGGAAATTATCTGACACCCATTTTTATGAGGTTCGCTCAACTCCAGAGTTGCACTGGATGGGGAAAATCCTTTCATTGCTGGGTACTGAACCCAGATTACAGTCTTGGCCAACAAGCACAATTACCACTGCGTTGTAACTTTCCAGCAAATTTTAAAGGGAAAATACTCAAATTCTAACTTAGACGAAGCATGCAATTTCCGACAATAGCCAACAAGTTTTACAAATGTCCTGGTGTTTGAAAAAAGTTCACCCTAAGCAGACAAAATTATATAGTTGGGACATGTTTAATCATTCGGCATATCCGAAAATTAATTATTCAAAAAATCAACAGATTCTATTTTACCTGACTTTATATTTTTTTTTACCAAAAAAAAAAAAAAAAAAACTGCAACTGAGAACCCAGGACCTTCAGGTCTACAACTGAGCATTTAGCCACTACATTACAATGGTTCACTTGGGTATGAAGGAAAAAACTTGAGTAAGTCTTAATAACAGGAAAACTGAAGGAAAAGAGGCATGGGAGACAAAGACAGAAGTATGTTAGATTAAAACTGTGGTATGAAGGAATATATATATATATACACACACGCACACACACATATCGACTGGGTCATGCGCAAGTGCATAAATAACGCAAATTTAGGCATTACATGGGTTGACAAAATTCTGGAAGACCTAGACTTCGCCGACGACATAGCACTCCTGAGTTCAGAACACACAGACGCCCAAGAAAAAAATCAATCGACTCCAGAATTTCTCAGAACAAATTGGACTCCAAATTAACACCGCAAAAACAAAAATTCTAGACCTTACCAACAGTTCAGTTGATATCACGCTGAACAACAACAGCCTTGAAAAAGTCAACAGTTTCACTTATCTAGGGAGCAAGATGTCATCTACAGGAGATATCGCACCAGAAATATCATTTAGAATAGCACTGGCATCTAGTGCCTTCAATAAACTGTCTAACATCTGGAAATCCAAGACACTTAGCAAACACACAAAACTCAAGATCTGCAATTCTTGTGTGATTCCAGTACTAACCTATGGATGCGAGAGCTGGAAATCAACGAAAACTCTAGACACAAAATTAGACAGTTTTGAAAATAAATGCCTTAGAAGAATACTAAATTTCAAATGGTCAGATTTCCGAACCAATACACAAATAAGGCAAGAATCCAGGCAAGAGTATGTGTCTAATTTTATACGAAAACGCCGCTGGAACTATGTCGACCACGCCCTTAGAATGGATAAATCAAGACTTCCTTACCAAGCCCTCATTTGGACACCACAGGGGAAAAGATCTCGTGGAAGACCAAGGGAACCCCTACGTAGAACTATCATCAGGGAAGGCTCGCTCATGGGCCACTCAAACATCCAAGACCTACAACGGATTGCAACGGACCGCCGTGCATGGAGAGTCGCGACCTCTGCCCTATGTGCCGCACTCGACACAAGAGGAAAGACTAACTAACTAACACACACATATATATATATATATATCAGACCAGAACCACATGGCATGGACCAAAAGAAGAAGACACTTGTATAATCTATGCAACAGTAAACAGCCAAAAGTGACTGACAAACATAAATATTCAATACTGACAAAGAGAAAAAAATCTTTATATCTCCCAAATCGGTTGAAAAAGATATTAAAACAAAAAATTTTCAGTACCACTACTACCACCACCACCACTATGTTTATGATTGCTGCTGCTGTTGCTATTACTACTACTACTGCTGCTGCTGCTTCTATACTTACACTTATATGCCACTTTCTGCCAGAGGACTACCATTACCTCTTTAAAATTACTTTAAGCTAAAGAAAACCTTATGGAAGCTAGCATAAAGAATCCTTTTCCACACATATAGGACTAGATACTGAAGAAAAATTTCATCACAGAAATACTATATCTTATCACAAACATGACACTTGCAAATTCACACTGAGAAGTGAGAAAGAGTGAACAGACGAGCAGCCAAAGGGTTAGGAATTGGATATTCTGCCTTCCTAGTCTTACTCCTTGCATACAGTTATTCAGAGAGAGTCTGAGAGAAAGAATGATAGAGACAGAGAGAGACAAAGATAGAGAGAGTCAGACAGAGAAAGACATTTGTTATATGTTTCTTGTTATCCATATTGACATCCTAGCACATTGGTCTGACCTATTGGTGTTTCTTTCTCCCATGTAGCGGCCATCTCAGTATCTCCATGCTCATTGTACCTAAAAGAAGTTGACTGGCTCTCAGTGTCTCCCTGATCATTGTACCTAATAGGAGTTGACTGGCATGTCTTGTTTCTGCCCTGCAACAATTCTCATTGTACCCAGTAGGAGTTGACTGCATGTCTTGTCTCTGCCCTGCAACAAGTCTGATTGTACCCAGTAAGAGTTGACTGGCATGTCTTGTTTCTGCCCTGCAATGAGTCTCATTGTAGTACCCAGTAAGAGTTGACTTGCATATATCTTGTTTCTGCCCTGCAACATGTTTCTGCATGCTTGTCCTCATTTGATACCCATTTCCAATAGGCTCCAACTGCTTCCAACTCTTTTTTTTTTTGCTGCTCTGTCTCAGTGCTCCATGAACGCAGCACATTCACTGTCTCTGTCCTGTCCACACTTCTTCCTTTAATAACCACTACAAATAGGACCAGTCTGCCAGATCTTATATTTCCTTTCATCCCAGAATATCCTGACCTGTACAGGCAAGATAATTTCTTGAGGCGGCATTTCTGCATGCTGTCAACCCATTCTAGGCTGAGTATGTCAATTTGGATAGACAGAGAAAGTGAGGCAAATACATGCATACAAACAACTGCATTTATCCTTCTTGCCAGTTTTCTCACTCACCCATTTTTACAGACATAAAAATGAACAAAGAAACACTATTACTCTACCTTGAAAGCATTTTGTTCTGCCACAATCATTAGCTCAAATTTTGCACCAGGGGAAAAGGGGAAGCTATTCTGTGTTCTTTCTTCAAGTCCCCACTCTCCATTCTGTTTATGATTTCGAACCACAACATTGGCACTAGAGCCAAAGTTTAAACGAACATCACAATGAAGCGCATAGTCCGAAGATTCATTACTTCCGCATACCAGATTAACTGTGAACCTAAAAATAGTGAAATATTTTCTTCTTAATAAATATGAATGACTAGTAAAAATGAGTGAACAAATGAAGTAATTAAATACTTGTTATTTTCAAAATGTTAAAAATTGGGCACACATGCCCATTTGACAGTCTGCCCTTCTGACCTCACTTCTGTCATATATAGGGAGAAATGAATAGACCCTCTGCCCTCCTAGTAAAAAAAAAAAACAAAGTTAGCTGCGTATCCATTAAAGGATGTTGCAGAAATAACACCAGCATTTTTGGCTGTTGTGGTTTTCTAGGCACATTTTGTGTTCAGTAGTTTGCAATTGTCCTGAACAGTCAGCTCTTGACACCCCTGTTGAAACCAATGCAAGACAAACTGTCCGCAGCTGGGATCGAACCCGCACCCCTGCATTATGAAGTGCCTTTGCAATGCCTAAGCTACAGACACAAACTCCTAGCAAGCATGTTGTAAAAGGCGACCAATCAGGAATGTTTCCTTAAAAGTCAAAGTGCATCTGCCTGAGCGGCAAGGAGTCAACAATCTGCATACAAATAAGCCAGATCTGTAAAATGGATGCACATGCAAAATTCAGGTCCTGGAAAAATGCCAAACTGAAATGGATGAAAAACCAGAACTTTCTACCAGAATTTGCAGCTGGTGCAATGAGTCCACCTCACTGTATTGTGCTTTTACCTTCTAGCTCATCATCCAGGTGGTGGGCCAGTATGAATTTCACAAATCACAAACAAGGAAAAACACATTAAATGCATCAAATACTTTTATATTTTAAGGAAGCATGTAATCTATGCTAATATTCAAATAGCTTCTGAAAATAATGTATAGAAGTGGTATTTTTGATTGGCTGTGGAAAATGGTTTCACAGTTGAACTGCAGAGTATGCTAAACATGTTTTACAAATATCTGTCCTAGATTTAGGGATGCGTAATTTGTTTACACAATTACTGTGATTTCCACTGTATTGAAAATACAACCAAAGGTAATACTGAGCACTTTTGGGTAAGATTTTGCGGATAAGTAAAGTCAGATAAGACTGCTACGCAGGATACCAGTGGTGTTTATGTTTATTTAACGGATCAACATTATGGCACATGGGTGTAACCCAAAAGTGCTCCTTTCTTCTTCTAACTAAAGCCTGAGTCTGAAGAATCTCAGCACAGTGCACAAACTCTGTTGCTCCATCAAGGATCCTGAAATACTTAGGGTAGGTTTTTAACTCTAAATTTTTGCCTAGGCAGTGCCGTTAGGCTACTCTTTTTGATTTCCAACCGCCAAGGGATTTTTTTTACATGCGCCAACAATACACACAGGTGTCCGGTCTTACTAACCAGAGGCCAGGGAAAATTATTAGAAGTCCACTTAAAAAAATCTCAACCTTCACTGGGGCTTAAACCAGGGACCTGCAGCACTCGAGGCGGACACCATGCCTCGAGACCACACAGCCCCCCCCCCCCCCCCCAAGTGAAAAATAAGAAACCAACACAGCAAGACTGGCACTGCAAGTCATTATATGCTGGGGACGGGGGAAGGGAGGGGGGATGTCAGCTGTGTTTGTTCTTTAAAAAGGCAACTGGCGTATTGTTTTGGTTCACAGCTAGGCTGTGATATCTGCATTTTTTAACCAAATACCTCTGATTTCTGAAAACCCTTAATTACTAACCTTTTATAACATGCTTATTAGGGGGCACTTTCATGTAAGGGATCTGGAACCCCACTGTGGGGGGTGAGGGTGGATTAGACCCACTGCCCCCACCCCCAAACAAGCATGTCTTAAAAGTGGTCTAATTAGGGGTGTTTCTTTCAAAAAAAGAATGCATCTGCAAGGAACCAACAGTTTGCATACAAATAAGCCAAATCTGTAAAATGGATGTGCATGCAAAACTCAAGTTCTGTAACAAGACTAAACTCCAGAAGTGGATGAACAACCAGAAGTTTCCAAAAGAGTTTACAGCTGGTGAATGTGAAGAACCTGGAACTCACACAGGAACTACAAACACATAAAGTTGTTTGAAAAAAAAGGTTACCGCCTAAAGAAATGGAATGTGAAACAACGGCTGTGTTTGCATATGTACATCACCATTAACATAAACATGCCAGCAATTAATGGCACACCCAGTGGCACTGCTGTGTTAGCATATGTATAGCACCATTAACATAAACATGGCAACAATGAATGACACACCGAGTGGGACTGCTGTGTTAGCATATGTGCATCACCATTAACATAAACATGGCAACATTCAATGACACACCTAGTGGCACTGCTGTGTTAGCATATGTACATCACCATTAACATAAACATGGCAACATTCAATGACACACCTAGTGGCACTGCTGTGTTAGCATATGTACATCACCATTAACAAAGAAACATGGAAACAATGAATGACACACCTAGTGGCACTGCTGTGTTAGCATATGTACACCACCATTAACATAAACATGGCAACAATGAATGATACACCTAGTGGGGCTGCTGTGTTAGCATTTATAAATCACCATTAACATAAACATGGCAACAAAGAATAACACACCTAGTGGGGCTGCTGTGTTAGCATATGTACATCACCGTTAACATAAACATGGCAACAATGAATGACACACCTAGTGGGACTGCTGTGTTAGCATATGTACATCACCGTTAACATAAACATGGCAACAATGAATGACACACCTAGTGGGACTGCTGTGTTAGCACATGTCTATCGCTATTAACATAAACATGGCAATTTTGAATGACACACCTAGTGGGACTGCTGTGTTTGCATATATATATAGCACCATTAACATAAACATGGCAGCAATGAATGACACACCTAGTGGGACTGCTGTGTTAGCATATGTACATCACCATTAACATACAAACATGGCAACAATGAATGACACACCTAGTGGGACTGCTGTGTTAGCATATGTGCATCACCATTAACATAAACATGGCAACATTCAATGACACACCTAGTGGCACTGCTGTGTTAGCATATGTACATCACCATTAACATAAACATGGCAACATTCAATGACACACCTAGTGGCACTGCTGTGTTAGCATATGTACATCACCATTAACAAAGAAACATGGAAACAATGAATGACACACCTAGTGGCACTGCTGTGTTAGCATATGTACATCACCATTAACATAAACATGGCAACAAAGAATGACATACCTAGAGGCACTGCTGTGAGGTACTCCAGTTATGTAAATTATCTTTCCAGGGTACAATCCACCTGGAATGGGTGCCATTAAAGGCACTGGCTAAAAATAGAAAAAAATATTAGACATGTTAATAAATGTATATATGTGAAAAAATGTGTATAAATGTATATATAAGCTGTAACAGAGGAAGTTAAGAAGAAAAGAAGAATACATGATAAGACAGTTGACATTAAGATATTTATTATGACAAATGTAGGGAAACACAGTAGTACAGTGGCAAATAGACTCCATTATCTTCCCACTGTTTCTAGGTTGGGATTCCAATTGAATAAGCTTTTTTTTTTTATATTTTACAGGCTAAGGACTGAATGAGCTAAAATATCACCTCCATTACATAACTGGATAAAGAACACAGACCCAATCCAAAACTCTGGTAAGAATACGAGTTGGTAAACCACAGGTGCCCAAACTCAAAGACTAGATATGTAATGAAGATGAGGGTTTAGAAAATTACACAGCACTCACTGGGTTATTGATAGATCCTGCACCAGCTGCTGGGTTATTGATAGATCCTGCACCAGCTGCTGGGAAAAAGCCTTGATCTGTAGGATACTGAAAACATATATATCACTTTAATAATATTTATTACACTGGAACCCACAGCGGCAAGGAAATAAAGGCAAATTTAATATTGAAAAAAAAAATACAAGGAGAAGGGAATTAGAGAGTGAAGTTAATAAAATGGAGAGATCGGGTGTGAGCTAGTCCTATCCCACCAGGACATCACACAAATGATAAACATCCAATGTCACAAAGTGCCACCATGTGGATGAGGATCAATCGTGGAGAGGTCCCAGAAATCCCTTTCAGCCATTTGGCCATATCTATGGCAATGCTATATTCAGGGCCCCAGGTAGAAGCCAGGGTGGGGCTTCAAACAAAAAACTGCATCCCACATGGGGACGACTTATTTTTGAAATAATGGATGAGCAGACAGGTACTGCACCACTGCATGTGTGAAGACACGTGGACAGATCTCATGTTATCAACGCTATATATACTAGGCTTGTGACACAAGCTTTCCTGTGGCTAGAATCACAGGACTATTCCCGCGTGTGTGCTGAGTGTTTCTTTGAGCATGATCCAGCGGGTCGAGGCAGGCTGGTTACACAGACAGTGGTTTGAGTCATTGCAAAACTCTCCTGTGTGAAGTTACCTTCATACTCATCCCAGTGCATGCAGGTGTTGTTGGTAATGAAAGAGCTGATAGACTGGAAGGTGCTGCATTAATTGAAGATGACCTGCCCATGGATCACCCATACATTTTCATTGCCCTTAGAGAGATAGGATGTTCTGAGGATTTTGGAAGCCACGTGTCCACATCACTGCTAAGAATACGAGCATTGGGAGTTAAAATCGGCACAGCTAAGTATGGGAAGCACACTGGACATGGAAAAAGTCTTCTTAACCAACATAGGACTGGCAGTATTGACCGCGTGACGCTGTTGAATATGTTGAGAGGGAAATCTGAGCGCCTGGATATGTCTGGAGTGCTGTGAAGATAATAAGATAATCTAACTCATAACTAGGCTGGTGGATAAGGATGAATCTCTGACATTAATATGATTACATGACATCACAGTTAAACTTGGTGAAGCATGTCATTGCTATTTACGAGGTCAAGATAGGAGACATTGTAAGCAACTTCTGGTGGGTCACGGGAACAATCAGTAGAGGTACACAGGAATGGATGACGCACAGGAGTACTAGCATGCAAGAGGATTCTTAATGTACAATCACACTAATAGTGGTACCCTTAAAATCATAACATAACAAGACATCAATAACAGTCAGAATTATCACTGTCAAAAGCTAGTGATTTGGACAGATTATGTCTTTCTTGAACCTGCTAACGGTCTTTGCTGCAAACTTTGTTTTCCACTGCTAAGTCACAGAAGAAGGAAAAAACTGACATAAACATTATTGTTACAAATGAGGCTGAATCTTGAAGATAGTAAATTTGGGACACTATACCCCTTAACATTTTCAGTCCTAGAAGAAATTTCCAGGAGATATGTATGCATTAATTTCAAATTTTCCACTTCACTGATTTCCTTTACTTCACTTACCTACTTAGTCAACCCTCTTCTATCTTGAGGTGTAGAGGTATGCCAGAGAGATCACTAGACTTCTCTGTCTGCAGTTTTCTTTTTGGCTTTGTTCCATTCCAGTTCTGTAAGTGAAGGACTGTCATTTGTTTGTCTTCCCAGCAAACCCTGGTGGTATACTTCCTGGTTTTTGGTGTCAGATTCTCTACCTTTCTGCATACATGTCCAAATTTGAGTTTGTAAGGCCAAGGCTTCAAGATCCTGATGCACTGTCTGATTGTGAGCTCTGACCATTCTTGTCACTTGGATCACCTTTCACAGATATCACATTTCTGAAGCCTCAAGCTGGCATCTGTGAGCTGTTGTCATTGCCCATGATTCACACTTGTAGGTCAGGACTGGTACATGTAGAGCTGTAAAGAGCCATTTCTGCCCTCTTGCCAGTATCTTTTTTGCTGTGAAACCCTCATTTTATGGCCTGGAAAAGTCTCCCATCAGCTGCCTTTTGAGTAGCCTGTTCTGTCACAATGCCTCCATTATTGTCTTTACAACTCTGGAGTATTTGAGCTGGTTTCAATGGTTCCAAATAGCTAATACCTGTGGACTCCTCACAATTCTGAAAGATCTTTCACTGACCTAACATTGTTAATAGTTATACTAAAGAACTTATTATTCGTTAATAAATCAATCATCATCTATTTAAACTTCTGCCATTAAGTAGTGTGGGGAGGAACAGTCTGTGATCCATTGCCTAGTCAGCAGAAATTTGTGTTTATCCCTCCATGTTGACGTAAAAGCTCTTTAATCCATCAATCTATATTCTTGTAGGGTGGCCTCTTGCTTTCACTTCAAATCTTTTCATGTGCAGAGCCTGCATTGGTAGTTGTTCTGGCTGCATTCTTAGCAGATGTCTAAACCATTTGATCTTTTGTTTCTCATTGCATTTTCTGTATGGTGTTGTCTTACAGTCTGTCTGATAATATTATTTCTAACTTCGTCTCAAATGGTTAAGTTGGCGGCTTTTCTCAGGCATCTCATTTCACAAGTGTTAATTTTATGTAGGTTAGCCTCAGATAATGTTCAAGTCTGGCTCTCGTAGCACAGTGTGGTATGAATATGCTATGTTTGTAATCTGTTTCTTGACACCCATACTTATGTTTCGATGTCTTAATAACAGTGTCAGTTGGTAAATAAGTGAACTAGCTCGTTGGCATCTTGTTTCTATTTTCCAATCTATTCTACCATCATCCAAGAATATACTTCCTAGATATTTAAATTCTCTAACTTACTTTAGACAAGTACCATTGTACCTGATATGTAGCAGACCAAAATTATGCTGATCTGCACTACTTCAGTTTTGGTATTATTTATTATTATGTTTTATCTTCTGCATGATGAACATAGACTGTTCAAATGTTCTATAATTTATTAATATTAGAATTAGAATAAAAAAGGATTGCTTTCTAAAGTTGAGAATTTTGTGTAAATGCTATAAGGAACTCCTTAAATGTTTTTCACTATATGGTAAAGACTGGTCTACAAACAGCGTGCACTGGGGAAGCCAGATTTCTTTAATATGTTGTGACTAAATATGAATAAAAAGAGAACACAATGTATTTATGAGTGGAACTGATATAAGTTAGCCATGTAATTAAAGTCATCAATTTTACAAATACTATTATGTACATTTGTATGCTACATTATAAAAAATACATGTGACTTACAGACGGGGCTGCAGGATATGTTCCTCCTGCTGGGTACTGAATAAAAAGATGGTAAACTTTTATTAAAACAAATAATATGAGAATCAACACTGAAAAGACAGAAGTAATGTCAATAGGAAAGAAGAAGACAGATCTAAACATAACAATAGAATACAAAGGCATTAAACAGGCATCTGAGTTTAAATATCTGGGAACTACATTTACCGAAGATGGGAAATTGGATAAAGAAATTGACATTAGATGCAGTAAAGCAAACCAAGTATTGGGACAGCTAGCCCCCCTCTTACAGCATAAGACAATCCCAATCAGCACAAAGAGACATCTTATTCAAAGCATATTTATTCCAACTCTGTGCTACCAGTGCCAGACATGGTCACTCACAACAAACCATAAAAGAAAATTAGTAACCACGGAAATGAGATGTCTGAGAAGGGCTGTAGGAGTGACCATAAGAGATAAGATCAGAAATGAGATCATAAGAGAACAAGTTGGCACAGAACCAATACTGGATTACATACAAAGACAGCAAGTGAAATGGTTTGCCCACTTAGAGAGAATGCCTTGTGACACCATACCATACAAAGCATACATGGAAAGAGAAGAAGGACGTAGAGCACAGGGTAGACCAAGAACAAGATGGAAGGATAACATCAGAGAAACTCTACAACAGCACGATGTGCCTGTGGTCGAGGCAGCCAGAAGAGCTAGAAACATAACCTTATATCTCCCTCGACACCCACAGCGGTAAAAGAGGAAGTGAAGAAGAAGAAGAAGAAGAAACTTTTATTAGAAAACTGAAAACAGCTAAACATGATAAGTTGTAACATCATTTTTTGTTTTTTAAAATCTTCATCAAAAGTAAATCACATTCAGTTTTCCTAAACCATATGTTCTGAGCTTATATTACTGCTTAAATTATCACTTGTTAACTCTTTATGCAAAAGGCCGAAAAAATCATAACTTTCATCATAACTTTTAAACTATGCACGGAAATTAAAGGTGTTCAGGTTACCAGGTTGTAACCCAGTGTCGTGGCTTTCTGTATTTGTCTTGGGCTTCTCGGGTGGCTTGAATGATGATTTGTTCAGCTTTTTGCAGGATTCATGTAAACCATTTATCCATCTCCCTCCTGGTCTTCCTTTTGCATTCCTCTGTTTCTGATTTTTCCTTATGGTTGCTGATAATAATTTAGGGAAGAAAAATGTAACTAGTTAACTTAACACAAAATAAATGGGTAGTTGCACCATTAGTGTGAAGATAATAGACA